CCAGTCCCTCCCAGTCCATCCCAGTCCCCCCCAGTCCGTCCCAGTTCCTCCCAGTGCTCACCGTCTCGGTGTACTGGTACGCGATGAACTTGCGCATGAGCGCGACGGCGGTGGCGCGCTCCTCCCCGATCTGGGCACAGAACACACGGATTTGGGCACAACCGGAGGAGTTGGGCTCCAAAGGGGATTTTGGGGACAGAATCCAGAATTTGGGGACACAAACCGGGATTTGGGGACACAAACCGGGATTTTGGGGACAGGAAACGGGATTTTGGGGACAGGAAACGGGATTTTGGGGACAGGAACCAGGAATTTGGGGACACAAACCGGGATTTTGGGGACAGGAACCAGGAATTTGGGGACACAAACCGGGAATCTGGGGACACAAACCGGGATTTTGGGGACAGGAACCGGGATTTTGGGGACAGGAACCGGGATTTTGGGGACACAAACCGGGATTTTGGGGTCCCCCACCAACACCCACCTTGCACTTCACCGTCCAGAGATTGGGGTCCCTGCAGGGGATGAGAAAACCCCATTTTTGGGGGAATCTGACCCAAATTCCCCCCTTTTTCCCCCCAGAATTCTCACTGCCAGGAATCCTGACCCAAATCCTCTGTTTTTCACCCCAAAACTCACTTGACGCCGGGCAGCAGCTGCTGCTGGGTGATGTCATCCGAGAGCTCATCGGAGCCACCGTAAACTCTGCGGGAAAATGGGGAAAAACCCAAAATTGGGGAATTTCAGGGTGGGCGTGGCTGGGGGGAGAGGGGTGGTGACAATGGGGGACACCGGGGGACACCAGGGAACACCGGGGGACATCGGGGGGCACCAGGTGACACCGGGTGACACCAGGGGAACACCAGGGGACAGGGACGGTGACACCGGGTGACAGGGACGGTGACACTGAGTGACAGGGACGGTGACACTGGGTGACAGGGACGGTGACAGCGGGTGACAGCGGGTGACACTCACGTCTCCCCCACCGAGGACTTGGCGTATTTCTTCATGTAGTACTCGCCCAGCTCCTCCTCACGCTGGTCCCTGCCGGGAAAAACGGGGCAAAATCAGCGGGAAATGGGAAAAACGGGAGAAAGGAGGGAAAACGGGGGGAATGATGGAAACTGGGGAGAAAGGAGAGAAAAATGAGGAGAAAGGAGGGAAAAACGGGGGAAAAGGAGGAGAAAGGAGGGAAAAATGGGGGAAAGAGGGAAAAATGGGGGAAATGATGGAAAAATGGGGAAAAATGGGGGGAAAAAGGTGAAAATGGGGAAAGTGAGATAAAACATGGGGAATTAGGAAAACCATGGGAATATGAAGGGAAAACGGTGGAGAAATGAGGGAAAAATGGGAGAAAAGAGAAAAAAATGGAAATGATAAAAATTGGTGAAATCAGGGAAAGTGGGAAATATGAGGAAAAAGCATGAGATAAAACAAGGGAAAAACTTGGGAATGTCAAGGAAAAACAATGGAAAATGAGGGAAAGTGAGAAAAATAAGATAAAAACAAAAAAATGTGGAAAATGAGAGGAAAACAGTGGGAAGTGAAGGAAGAACTTGTGGAAAAAATGGAAGAAAACAGGGAAATGACAAAAATTGGTGAAATCAGGAAAAGTGAAAAATATGAGGAAAAAACAGATAAATGAGATAAAACAAGGGAAAAACTTGGGAATGTTAAGGGAAAACAATGAAAAATCAAGAAAATGGGGAAAAAAAAGATAAAAGCAAAGAAAAATAAAAATAAAGTGAAAAATAAGAGGAAAACAACTAGAAATGAAAGAAAAAATGTGAAAAAAATAGAAGAAAACAGAAAAACAGGGAAATTACAAAAATTGGTAAAATCAGGGAAAGTGAAAAATATGAGGGAAAAAACAGATAAATGAGGTAAAACAAAGGAAAAACATGGGAATTTTAAGGGAAAACAATGGAAAATGAGGAGAAAGAGAGGCAGATGGAGGGAAAGGACGGAGATGAGGTGGGGATGACCCAGGGGGGGCTCCAGGGTCACCTCCAGAGGTTCTGCAGCCGCCGGGCCCCGGAGCGATCCTCGTCCAGCACCACGTTGTCGATGTTGGAGGCTGAAGGAAAGAAAGATAAAATCAGGAGGGGAATCTGGGATCTGGGAGGGAATTCCAGGGATCCCCGTGGAATTCGGGGAGGGGGGCTCTTACCTTCGATCTCCTCTGCCCCGGGGAGAAGGTGACGGTGGAGGATGAAGTAAAATCAACAGCAAAACCAGGGAATGGGGGGAAAATTTGGGAATTTTTGGGGGGGAAATAAAAAAAAAATTGCAACGGAAAAGCCCCAGGCGAGAGCGGATGAGATGGAGGGGTGGATGTGGGAAAGGGGGGTTGGGAACCCCTGCCTGGGAAAAGGGGGGAAGGGGAGG